TCTGTCTTTTCAACGCATTCTCATCCTAGGGCGTCATATAGTGACGCTTTTGAAATTTCAATCCAACACACATGGCACTCTTGTCAATATAACACACAGTGCTTTGTTTGGTTATGGGTAGGTTTAGTTCTGGTGTAGGGTTAGGGTTAGACCACTAGGAGGCGCCTTCTGGCCCATATATATCTGCGTCTCATATTGATGCTAAAGGGTGCCATGTGCGTTGGATGTAGACGAAATGTCAAAAGTGTCAGTATATGACGCCTTGGGATGAAAATGGGCTGGTCTTTTCCACGGTATACCATCTTCTGATGGCTACTTCCAACAGGATTATGCACCAAGTCACAAAACTCAAATCATTAAACATGACAGTGAGTTCACTATGGCCTCCACAGTCACCAGATCTCAATCCAATAGGTCACCTTTGGGATGTGGTGGAACAGGAGATACACGGATGTGTAGCTGACAAATCTGCAGCATTTGTGTGATGCTATTATGTCAACTCTAAGGTTTCCAGCACATTGTTGATATGTCATGAAGAATGAAGGCAGTTCTGAAGGCAAAATGGGCTCCAACTCTAGCTAGCATGGTATACCGATGGAAGTCTATGTCGTAACTTTTTCAACAGCGTTAAGACTTGTTTTAATTTATTTATTTTAGTTTTGTATTAAGCTCATAAAAGCACAACAAGCACCATACAGCATCATGTAGTCCACGTGATGTTTGTGCTATTTTCCAAATCTTCCTGAGCTGTTTTAGAGCTTTATGTAATTCAATTTAAGTTGTTGTTCATTAAAATCTTGATCGAGCAACTTTGATATTCCGTTTGGAAAAGTTCATTTTTGGTTGAACTATTCCTTTAAGAGAGTGTCTTTGTCACTTTGCCTAATTCATCATAGTTTGAGTGTTAAACTGAGGAAATATATTGTCTGTCTCATCACCCCTGAATGCTTTCCTTTCAAAGCCTTTATTATGACCAGATCGCCTGTTCTCAAGCATTAGCATGATTGAGTATGATAGATGGGACTGAATGGGTTCGATTTAGTCTGACACTCCATAAGCGGCGAGTGTTTCCTTCATCTGGACACCATGATGGACAGACTCCAGTGCAGAGGGCAGATCTGGCTTTGATGACCTTCAGCCTGGTCTTGACCTTGAAACCTCTGCGATCGGGCCACTGGGGGGCAAATCTGGTTCCTCTGGAGCGAAAGGCCTTTTGTGACACCGAAGAATGACGGACGGAGGAGGAGAGAAAATAAAACAGCAGGTCTGTTCTGACCCTGGTGGAACGCTGCCCCGGGGAAGGCTTGCGTCCAGACGTGTTTCTAGGGTACAGCTCGTGGATGACCTCTGGGTGAGGAGGGATCAGGTTCTAAACAAGCACACGCATATTGCGGGATTTATGAAGCCGCTGGGGGACTGAGGCAATGGTGCGAGGGTCACCTTTAATAGGAGGTGGTGTGTGTGTGTGTGTGTGTTTGTGTGAGTGAAAGGCCATGTTTGTGCATTTGTGAAGGGTCAAGGGGGTGTTGTTCCAGATTGTTTGTAGGCATATAAATGTGTTTATGCACTGACATGTGCATGTATATGTTTGTGTTTGTTTTGGATTTGTTTTTTTGTTTTTTTGGCTCGATGTTAACATGCAGATTCCAAAATGTGAGTAAATAGGCCTTTTGGCTAGTAAATGAGGCATATCCTGGCAGTTGGTGAGTTCATACACTCTCCGAAAAAAAGGTACAAAAGCTGTCACTGGGGCTGTACCTTTTCAAAGGGTACACTTTTGTACCCAACGGCTGCATATTGGTACCTAGTGGTACACATTAGCACCTAAAATGTACATATTAACACCTAAAATGTACATATTAGTACCTAAAATGTACACATTTCCACCTACAATGGACATATTAGCTCATGAACTGGACATATTAGCACTTAAAATGTACATATTAGGACCTACAATGGACATATAGCTCCTGAAATGGACATATTAGCACCTAAAATGTACACATTAACACCAAAATGTACTTATTAGCACCTACAATGTACATATTAACACCTAAAATGTACATATTAGTACCTAAAATGTACATATTAAACACCTAAAATGGACATATTAGCTCATGAAATTAACATATTAGCACTTAAAATGTACATATTAACACTTAAAATGTACATGACCTAAAATGGACATATTAGCTCCTGAAATTGACATAGCACCTAAAATGTACTTATTAGCACCTAAAATGTGCATTTTAACACCACAAATGTACATAACATTAGCACCTAAATTTTACATATTACTTAAAATATACATATTAGCACCTAAAGTGGAAAAAAGTTTACTTTTTGAAAAGGTACAGCCCCAGTGACAGCTTTTGTGCCTTTTTTTTCTGATAGTGTATCACATTCAACTAAATAAATCTGACTAAATAAATCATCTGTTGTTTCTACAGTATCTCTGATAAATTTGACCATTGTAAAATTGTAAAATTTTTCCTCTTTCTCCATAAGATATATATATATATATATATATATATATATATATCCTTCTGATCGAAACTGTGTTCTCGTAAGCCATTTCCCCCTCTCAACTATCTCTCTTTTTTTAATTTACATCAAAAAAAATATTAAAGCTACAAATTTCCTGACCTGATGATGCTTTGTGCAGGTGAGAGCCAGCAGATGGTGGTTTCAGGCAGAAAATAACCCCCATCCTTTGCCTTAAAAAAAGGCCCCATTTGCATTTCATGAGGTTTAATTGTGTCTCTTTTCCCCCGGTCCATGGTCCAGCGATGCTATGCCTGTCAGAGAGCGCTTCAGAGCCATGAAGGAGGCCTGATAGATTAAGGTGAACCTTCTGTTTGCATCCTTTCCCATTGTGTTCCAGAAATTAAGGAATATTATCTCCCTGAAGACTGGAGAATGGATAGCGGAGGCGTTAATGACATTGGGTGGGTAGAATTAAAGTGTTGAGACATGGGCGGGGGGCAGAGGAGACTGAGAGGGACACGATGGATAATGTCATTATTTTGTAGTCTCGTTCTTGACCCGGAGGACGTAAACAATTACGGTGGTGACAGAGGAGGGGTATATGGGGCATAAACAAAGCTTGTGCTGTCTAAAGCTGACAGGGTGTGTTTACTATCCTGTTTTTTAATCCTACTGTTTTTTTTTGAGTGTATGAGACCTTTTCAGCTAGGTTTTTAACTTGTTTCTTCCCTCCTTTTAAGGCTTCTTGCAACAGTTAAATGTAGACAAAAGCATTTCATGTGCTTTCATTACCTTTTTTTTCTGTAACATTCAACATCTCCAGATCTTCATATAGGGATTTGGGCTTTTGGAAACAGGACGGGGTGCAGCAAATCATTCTGACAGACTTAAGTTGCAGGGTTTTGTGGTCACATACATTAATTACCATCATTATAAGATAAGACACATGGGTAATATTAATTTGTCTGCCTTACACAGACATTCCCAAGAGAGCCCAACATCATATGATTGCCTTAAATAGTCATTTTGAGTGTTTAGACCTATAATTTATGATTAAATAGAGCATGCGATTTGAGTATTTTTTAATTATGAAATTTAATTAAAGTATCCAGTTTAAATATATATATATAAGTGTAACCTATAAGTGTTAAATCTCAAGCGCTATGTAAATCTCTCAATACACATTGACCTCCTTCTGAATTGTTTTATTATAACATGTGAACAGGAAATTCAGCTGAAATTTCTTATAAAGTGATTTTATCCACCTTATTTCTCACGTCAGAGTGGGCGTGGCCATGTGTAAATTGTGTCTGGTTTCCGGTGTCATTGGCTTCCAGTTCTAACAATTCGTCAGGCTGCTTTCCTGCTTGTATATTAATATTGCAAAGTAGTATTTCTTACCATATCGTTCTAATGTATTGGCTTATTTATAAGCACACTGGTTTGTCGTGCAAACTTTGCTAGCACTTTGATGTTATTCTCGTTATTTCCCTATGAATCGAAAGTCTATCACAGAAAACCGTACCGAAAACAGCTTAACTTACTTCCGCGTTGGAATAAGGTGAATAAAACGCGTAAAACACTCACCCAGCAAACAAAGCCCAGCTAAATGAAGACTGATGATTCCATTGCTGATGATTTCAAATCGGTATAATTGGATGAAATGGACTGTGACACCTTATGAAATGGTCTGTAACATTTTCTTTCTCCTGCCTCTTTTCCTTAATCTGTTTTGTTCTTAAAATTGTCTTTTCGTTAGATCTATTTGTGGTAGAAGTTTATTGCAAGTTATCTTACAAAGTTATCCTGAATTTCACTAGAGGGCAGCAGTGCTTTGGAGAAGAAAAACTCATTCACAATCTGATGAAAAATATCCTCAATTCCTAATTTATTTGCTTAAACATTTGACTTAGTTCATAGTATCTTGTTCTATCTAGAGGTTAGTGATTGTGACCTGTATCAGATATGTGTCTCAGAATTTGAATGTGCCATTAAAAAGTTTAAATATGGCACTACAATTCGGTTTCTAAACAAAAAAGTGCAGTCATAGAGCTTAAAATATGCCCTTAGAAATCAACGTCAAACATGGCATGTATTAACTGCCATGGCATGCTGCTTAAAAGGGAATTAAATTAACGTATTGCAGTATTTATTTTGTCACATATTAACATGCACTATTTAAATTGCACCACTATGTGGCAGCATTTCCTGTTTTTTTTTTATTTATTTATTTTATTTTTTTTTTAACATCAGTGGTTCTCAGCTGGTGCCCAGGGTTGCCCCTGGTTGCCCAGAACTATTAATTTGATATACATAGGCGCATATATATATATATATATATATATATATATATATATATATTATTTATTTTCATTTTATTTTATTATTTTCGTTTTTGCCATTGTGCTATCAGAGCCATTCCAGGGTCACAGCCCACCTCTGCTTCTCATACAATTGCATACTTTTTAAAATTAATTTGCATTTTTGCAAGAATTAAGTAAAAAGAGAGACCGTTTTCTTTTACGCAGTATTTCTTTTTAATAGCTTTTAATAAACACACAAACACAAGCTTTGAAAAGAGAGGCGAGTCAGAGGCACAGAGTTGGGTTCTTGTGAATGAACAGTCTTCATCAGAGCTCACACTCCTTCAGACAACTTACAGTACAGGTGTTTTCACAAATTAAATTAAATACAAAAAATATTACACTCTTTAGCCAGATCAAATTAATTAAACACTATTCAGATTTTTCTTCTTCAGGTTTTAGTCTTACAATGTCAAATAACAATTGCAGTCTAAATTGTGTTAATGTTGGGAAATGAGTACATGCAACATTTTTCTAGTGCTGGTCCCATGTCAGAACAGACCACATATTGATTATATATGGATATTTTTTAGGGGATTATCAATCACTGTATACAGAAATCCCTTTACACACAAGTTTTATTGCTGCTAAAATAAATACTCCATTGCAGCAAAGGTTTTTTGTTCAGTCACAGAAAAAAAAAATCAGAATGGGATTTAGTTAGACATTCATCAGATAAACAATATTCACTACAACCATGAAAACAGGCAACATGTTCTGCTCATCATAACAAAACATTTATTGTTTTCGGTGTCGCAGGAGAAGTAATCTAATACATGGTCCTCAGAATAGGCCCTTTAATTGTAAGTAATGGGTTGTTTAATACTATCACATGCTATTACAGTACGTTGAGAATTACTGTGAGTAGAAACAAAGCATCTAAGATGGTAGACAATGCAGCTTGTTATATTTCAAGTATTGAAAAATGTTTCCAATGCATGCAGGTGTTACGATGTGTCCACCATCATGTTGTCAGGGGTCAGTTCATAACACATTTTTAACCTAGCAAAACTGCCACTTGGATGCTTTTAAACGTTTTTACGGATACATTGCGTAATATACAAGAGGACTGTGAGCTGTCATTCTGATGCTTGGATTATTTAATGTTCCTTCATTTTATTTTTATTTTTACACTCATCGGATTTAAATATTTAAGGCGTTTACCTCAACTGTTTAATCATGTATGCCACGATTGTAATAACAGATAACATGATCAAACCCACACATCTGAATTGCATTTGGATTTGAATGTAACATAAGCAACATTTAATAAACTGTTTAAACAAATTACTGTCTTTCTCAAATCCTGCTGCTAATACTGCTCTTAAAAGTAACTAAATCCAACTAAAATCAATAGTTCCTAGTCTCTGTTTTTACTACATTTCCTCCATCACAATCTCCCAAAACTAAACTAATAACCCAGTGTTACTCAGAACACATTTTCTTTGTTTTATTATAAAATGAACCTTTTTGGCGAGTACTGTATATACAGCATTGTGTTATAGGCACAAGCACAATATATTCAATGGCATTTTGACTTTCATTCATGTTATGTCCTTCTAAATAAAGGCTAAATGGCTATTAGTTAAAGGAATGGTAAATAAATAGCACCATTTTTTTGTTGGAAAACAGAAAAAAAGCTTTCATAACTGCCGATCTAACCATGGTATTTTAGTTACTTCATCTATGAATTCTCAATGCATCTTCATTGAAAACACTTCATTTCACTGTCCCTATAATTTAATACATGCACTTTGGTTAAAATACATCAAAAACCTTTTTATAAGTATTTTTTGGCCGTATAAGGAAAAAAACAAAAGACACAAACACACATTATGGCTAATGATGCACGTTTCTGCGACAAACACGCTCTAGGCACTTATTAGCTAAAAGAGATACTTTGTCAACAGAGCAAACATAATACTATGTACATATATGTAAAAAGTGTTATAAATAGGTTTTAAACCATATATACTATATACATCTTCAAATGATGACAGTATTGAATATGTCTTTTCGGGGTGGCAGTGGGGTTGATTTTGACTGAGCCCCCGGGTAACGATACCGTGTGATTTCACTTCTCTGTGGATGCAGTGTGATACTTTGGCTTCAAAGCTGTATTTCCAGGCAGCGGCCATGAGAGGGCAGTGCCACCTCACTCTCGCTTTCTCAAGATGACGTAGATTAACCCGCTTATGAATGCCAGAGGGAAGGCTACCCAGGCCAAGATGTAGGAAAAGCCATAGGACACTGTCCCAGTGATCCACTCGCCGTTCATTACCGTATAAATGATGGCTCCACTCATAACGAAAAGACCTGGGGAGGGACGATGACAAGAAATATTAACTGTCTGGAAATTCAACAAAATGATTGTTTTTACTGTATAAAAATCATATGTTTGGAAACTCCAAGGTTGTTATTTCAGAATTTTCAGACTTCCATTTATGCTATATCATGCGTTTTATGACTTCACTACAAAGAAAGATAGCAATAATTAAGAATATTTGCAAAGTTTTAGCTTTGTAACTTTTATGTTTTTGAAAGGCATTCATTTGATCAAAAATAAACTAATATTGTGAAATATTATTACAAAATAAAATTACTGTTTTTTTATATATATATTTTAAAAAGTAATTTATTCTTATTATTATTTATAAAAGTTAATTTTCAGCATCATTACTGTAGTCGTCAGTGTCACATGATCTTCAGAAATCATTGTAATATGCTGATTTGCAGCTCAAGAAACATTTCTGATTATTATCAATGTTGAAAACAGTTGTGCTGCTTATTGTTTTTGTTTTTACGGTCACATTTGATCAATTTAATGCATCTTTCGTAAATTAAAGTATTTCTTTAAAAAAAAACATACAAACTCCAAACCTTTAAAATTTTTAAAGCTTTTTCATAAATTTATTTTTTTTACATCAGAAAAAATAGTTTTTAAGGCTTTTATGGTCAGGATATTACATTTAATATCCAATAATGTGTATTGTAATCATGGTCACCACTGAGGTCCCTCACTACCTCAGTATTGTTTTCCAAGGTGTATAATAAAAGTTGTGAAATAATTGCCTAATAATAACTAGCTGCAAATATTATGTACAACGCCAAGGTAAGCAACTTTCTCATCTGTGCTGAGGAGGCCAATCAAATCAACGAAGCTGGGAAATAGCATTACTTTTTACAGAAGCAGAGCATTAATTAACGGAAAACACGATTGTTGATTTTAACTGGTAAAAAAAAAAAAAAAATAGTTGCAAGTAGCTTAACATTTAACATTTGACTTCCTTACTACAGTATAGAGATGTTAAACAACTGACATTAATAATATCCAAGGCCCTTTTCAAAGGTTTTTGATGAAAACATTCCAAGATTTTTCTCCATATAATGGACTTCAGTGGGAACCAAACGGTTACCAAATGATCATGTGCATATTGTGAATGCATTTTTTGGACCTCTGTATTTCAGCCTCTGTGTACGGCAGTGGTTGTAATAGAGAATCACGTCTTTCTATACTTGTGTAACAATTAACAACAAAAGACACTCGCAAAAACATGTACTAAGTAACAGTCCTCCAACTAATGTTGGCCTATAGTCTTGACTATGAAGTCTGCTCGAGAGGGAGGAAACATGACAAGGCACTTTCAGCACGTTCTTTTATGTCCGGCACAGACCACCTTCAGAGTGCCAGTCTTGACATTTCATCTTGTGGCAGCGGCTGTGTGTCCTGTGCCAACTCAGTGGGCACCTGTAAGTGTCTGGCTTTGTGCTGTTTACACCCTCGCCTCCCCTCTGACATTTAGCTTTCAATTAGTGTCCTTCCTCTCTGATGAGAGACGCAGATATGAACTTTAAAAGCCCTCGGTTTCAGTACGTACTGAAAGATCAAGCATTCATCTCGCCTCCAGAGCTATTCGGTATCCAGGAACAGTAATGATTTCTAATAATATTCCATCTTCATTACATCTCAAAGAGCCATTTCTAAGGAGAGCTATCGTTTTACATTAGCTGCAGTAAATTACCGTAAAACGCATCTTCCCGCATCTTATCTTTTATGTGTATTATTTACCATAAATGAAGAGAAATGCTTTGTTTTGGTGACCTTGCCTATTTTTAACTCCGCGTGCTGCATTATTTAATCTGAAGAAATCATAACTAAATTATCTGCAGGAAGTTTGCCTGTAACCGCGGTTGAGCGCATTAAAGGGTTTCCTGTGCCGTCTGTGGCTTAATGAGAGTTGACAGGACTCATTAGAGTAACGAGACTAAGGCCAAAGGTCTTTTCATCTAGCCGAATGAAAGCAGATTCACCTCCATAGGAACAGAGGAGATCAGTCGATGTCATATCGATGATCTTTTATTAATAAATGCTAATTGATCTCAGATCACCAGAGCCAACTAGCTCAAAAGCCTATACAAATATGAATTCTCCTTTGTTTCTACTGCGAGCACCTTGGGTCCATTAACACTGCATGAGTGTGTCAGCATGCTATGTCAACCTCATTAGCATCAAGTTGATCCACTGCATTGTTCACATGACGTCTCGATACTCACTAGCAAAGATCTGGAATGCTCCGGTGAGGAAGAAGCGTCCACCCTTCTGAAGTGTAAAGAGCTGGCAGAAGAACAGGAAGAGAGACAGGAAGCTGAAGATGATTGACAGGATCATAAGGGCTTGGACTGCTTGGATCCAAACTGAAAAACAGAAAGCATTTCAAAACATTAGTGCATTTACTTATTCCTGAATCCACTTAGGGCAGAAATAAAAACATTCGTTCTTGAGGAGGAGATGGTCATTTAAAATGAACAGGAATGGGCATTAAGCGGGTCGTTATCTCTTTTCTCATCTGCTATTCTCGATCGATCACAGCATAGTTGCACTTTTACGTTGGCGTGCAACTGGAGATATGTATTATTGATAACCACAGAGGTGAGTCGGCATTAGAACAACACCAAATATCAGTTCATAATGAATTCTTCTTGTTGCCAATATGCATTTAGGTTTTGATGGTTGTTTCGAAAGCAATGGTGAATCCAGGAACCCTTAATGCATTGTGCAAAAAACATAATGAGGTTTCTGTTCCTAAAAGCTCTTAGCAGGTTACCAGCACCTAATATCGATCCTTTTCTTGACGTCCCATGCAGGACACGGCAGCTCACAAGGAGCTCCATTAACTCTATATTACCTACATTTGATTGCTTTAAAAGCCTCCTGTGTGTCATTTTTAACCTGCATTAGAGCCATTCCACCCTTTTATATGTGTGGACAGCAGAAGGTAAATGTTTGCATAGTATTTTCAGAATAGCAGGAAATACTTCTTTCTTTCTTTAAAAATAAAACCTTACTGACCTCAAACTTGTAGACTGATTTGCAGGACATTAAGTTCTTAGCAAGCTTTGAGACAGGTTTGTGTGAGTTTGAGATTGATGAAGAATGCTGTGGCCGATGTTTTAGTTTAATGTTTAGCGTGTATTTCTGGCTCTTATGTACAAACAATTGTTTCTGTTTTAGAATTGTTATCCTCAATCGAGTTTTAATGCAAAATCTGTCAGTATTTACTCACTAGTTTAATTTCAAACCTACATGACTTCTGCTGAACATGAAGATATTTTGAATTATGAAAATGCTCTTGACAATAAAAACTTGTTTTTTTTTATTAAAAAAAAAATAACTAAAAGGGTGTTTGAGGAACCAAAAATGATTATTACTCTGATAATGTAGGAGATGCGTCGTTGATCTTTTTCTATCTCAGTCTCTACCTCTTCTGAGCCCAAGCAGTAATAAGTGGAATGCATGGGTTGTCCAGCATGTCTATTTCTTACTTAAGGGTCATTCCTGTAGCATCATGTTTCTACACCTCTCTCTCTCTCTCTCTCTCTCTCTCTCTCTCTCTCTCTCTCTCTTCTCATGTTCAGCTGTGTCTGTCTCCGCTTATAGCCACTAGAACTGTCAAGCCCCTAAAGCAGATCAGCCTACTACTGATTAAAACTAAATCGGAGCCAATACTATAGCCTTGAGAACAACCAGATCCTTTACTAGAGCCTAATGCAGACTGCAGGAAAATAATAATAATTTTAAGACCCTAATCTGATCTGCATTTTTTTTTTTTTTTTTGCTCATATGCGACTCAGATCTGTTTTATCATGACAGTGTGAACGGCACAAACCACATGGAATCTGATCTTTTCAATTCTGAATTGGTCCACTTCCATACAGTATGTGGTCCTAAATCCGATACAGGTCAGATGTTTTGCAATCGACCTCAGTCTGAACAGTCGTATCAGGACACATAGTAACATTCATCACAACTCTGCGCTCATGGGAGTCGCTTCAAAGATTTTACTAATCCAAAGTTATCAAGGAAGGACAGTGGTGTGTCGGAGCTCATAAGTATTGCAGTGGTCGTATCATAAAGGTTAAAAAACTCTGCTCTCTTTTTTCGCATCCTCATCTTTTTTTTTTTTTATTGCCTACGCATATATTAGCTGGCATTAGCGGCTGATCACACTATAAACAATTGTGTAACCGCTTACTTTAATGTCCTTTGAGTTTACTTCCATATGACAGCGAGATGTGTGACGTCTTTTTATCATTCTTTTGCGCATGCGGGACAGTTGATCTGTTCACACTGGAATTTTGATATTGGTTTAAAAAAAAACAATGTGAACAGCTTTACAAAAATTACAAAAATCGCAATTGAGCACTAATGTAAACGTAGCCTGAGACACACAATTTACAATATCACATTGATTACATCCAGGAAAAGAATATCGTAAAACTTGATCAAGTCCTGGAAAATCTGGCCTACTCAAAAGCAAATACAAGATCATCATCTTTTTACTTTTGTTGGGAAGACTTGGTCATACAGTATGAATGCTTCAGAATTAGCAATGATCTCATTAACTGCTCAATCATAAAACGTTTTTGAGCTTGTAAATATCTCCGAATGGAAACAATTGTGGAAATGTTTTTTTTTTTATTATTTAGGCCATACGAGGAGACTATTCTAGTTTGCATCCATAAATAATACAAGGTTCTGCTGCTATCTGTGTGTTTACATACTGCACCCACACAATACAAATGATACAATAAATCTCTCAATTATCTCTCAACAATGGAGTAAAAATAGAAGGCACATCCCCTCATACAGTCCATTTACTCACTGTTACTAAGTTTTTCCTCAGTTTATCACATGAAGTAAACATTTGCAGTTTCCTGAAAAAAAGGTGCAGCTGTACTCATTTAGTGCTTGACAACACCCGATGTATTTCTGTCAGCAGTCATGCAGGGATGTGTATTTCAGGACAGAAGGTATCGTTTTTGGAAAGTGGAGGCCTTGTGTTTGCATTTAGAGGGGTATGTATGGTCCTGGGTGTGAAGAATGTGGCTTAACAGATGATAAATATGCACCGGGGAAACATATCACAGGGGTGCGAGTGTGTGCGCTAATACTAGACTGCCTTAACCCCCAGTTTGGTCCTCTATATCAGGATGATGAATAGGATTTCACGCATGCCTTAGCTGCCAGTGTTGAGTAGCTTCACCATGCCAGCTGTTCCGCATCACTCTTGGTGTAAAATAAATCCATTCAGGTAATATTAGGATGGTTTCGCGCTTGTTTTGTCCTCAGGTTCGATTTAACCCCATTGATTTGTCCCTGACCCTGCATGGATTGTTTTGCATTACACTTTGCGTCTATGTAATAGTAAGAAGAACATTTTCCCAGTTTGATTCACCACCAACATCTTATACTTGTTTTTGTCTTAATTCTTAAACTAGAGATTTGAAGAATTCGAGCAAAGAAAAGTAGGTTTGGGTAAATGCATTAGAAATCAATATTTTTTTTTTTTTTTTTTTTTATGAGTTTTGTTTATATGTTATAATGAGTTTTGGCTCATTTTTCTCCTAATGCAATATACTTTTAAAACTTTTAATATTAAAAATGTTTTTACCATATTTATATTTTAACATTTTTAGATTTAATACAAATATTTTCCATTCTAACTATTCTGTTACCTAATGTTGGCATGCATTATTAAATGTGTTACCTAAAACGTGAATCTAAATATTACAGTGACAGACATACACTACTGTTCAAAAGGTCAGTAAGATTAAAAAAAAGTTTTAAAATAAGTCTCAGCAATTCTGCATTTATTTGATCAGAAATACAGTAAAAACTGAAATATTAATATAATTTAAAATATCTGTATACTATTTTAATGTTTTATCATTTGTTGCATTTCCTGTGATGACATAACTGAATTTTCAGCATCATTACCCCAGTTTTCAGTGTCACATGATACTTCAGAAATCATAATATGCTGATTTTCCCCTCAAGAAACATTTCTTATCATTATCAATGTTGAAAACAGTTAGCTGCTTAACATTTTTTGTTAAAACTGATACATGTTTTCAGGAAAAGTCAAAAGAACAGCATTTATTTGAAATAGAAACGTACTTTTGTAACAATGTTAAAGTCTTTGTCACTCTTGATCAATTCAAAGCATCTTTGCAGTGCTGTACATAAAGGTTCACATTTTAACTGCTGTTGTTTGTGTGCAAGTTAAATGTCATCTAATTAAAAATACATTGCAAGTCATGCTCCAATAAAGCCCCTAAGACCCTATTTACAGCCTACAGATAAAAAGTAACTACAAATTACAAACAAACTTTTAAATAAAAACTGCATTTTTTTTGTTGTTGTTGTTCACGGCACGTGAGCGAGCGCACGCAGGAGAGCAGGACAGAAAAGCCCTTCAGTATGTGCCCTCCCTGCACCACACCCTAAACAAACACAGCACATTATAGGTACTACGCCAACTGACTGAGAGCTATGAAATAACACAGCAAAGCATTCTGGTCCCGCCTCGTTTCCAAAGTGCACAGAGAGGCGTTTCTCGCTCGAAAACTATGACATCATCTCACCCTCTGACAACAGCTAACAGTGTAACAGTGTACTGATTGGGGATTTACAGTACTTTTTATGATTTAGAAATGCATAACTAAATATATTTTATGGCAAGATTAACTCAAAAATGACAACTTTAGTTTGTAGTCTCTCTCTCTTTCAGATTGCCTTCATTCCTTCAAACACCCTGTCGCTTTCATTTCAATTCGTGGGCGTGACTCAAATCACACTATGTTCGGCCTACGGCTCTCTGATGCTACGCCATCACACGGATCAGTCTAAATCTAAGCTGCTTCAAATGCTCTACCTCTGCCCCACCCCAAAATCTCTCAAACCTTGCAACCCAGCACTCTCCACTCCCAAACAAGGGGCCCGAGCTCAGCACTGGCAACCAGACTATTTATACAGTCTGCCTGAGCTGATGTTTAAGAGGGGTCTGTTCTGTTGTGGGTTGAAACTGCATGTTTGCATTCTCACCCCTAGATGGCAGTACCAAGGTTTGAGGCAGAGTGGTGGGCACACCCACCATAAAGAGTGGTAAATAGGCAAAGGGGCTTTGACAGTAATGCTAGGATCAAGCCCTCTGTGAATAACCTGCTATGTGTAACATACCAACAGTGTCTATTTAACCCTTGACAGAGTTTTAATATTATTGCACCTCAAATGTTTGGTTTCATCATACGTTCATTCTTAAATATAAAAATTTAGCAGGATCCTACCTCCAGTGTCAGCAGGGTTACATGCGCTACTGGTTGTTGTTGTGCAGTTTGTCCAGAGGTCTGAACTGCTTACGTTGTTAACAACCCATGCCTGTTAGAGGATGCAAATATACTCATTAGCACTAGCAGGGATTAAACATCCACAATATTCTCTTACAGCTGCTTTTATTCTGTGATTGGCAGGCTTCGACTTTAATAATTACTTGAAATGAGTTGCATAATTAATAGCTATCACATAATTTGTCATTTTAATATCAGATAGATAGATAGATAGATAGATAGATAGATAGATAGATAGATAGATAGATAGATAGATAGATAGATAGATAGATAGATAGATAGATAGATCTTTATTAATCAAATAAAAGAAACTGCAGAATAGATACTTACACTAACTATAGTGGACACGAAGAGCAGAACCAGTGCTGCCACATGCAAGATGACGATTCCCAGTAAGAGGAGCAGCATGATGTCCTTACGGTTCTGTACAAACACCAGAACATTTAATTGATAAAGTACATCAGTGAGTTAAAAGTTATAATATAGTCCTTCAAAATTGTTTTTGTTTTTGAGTTTAGGTGGGTATTATAAATAAATATGTAAAATATTTATTAATAAAATAATACATTATATTAGCCTATTGAATGTGTCATAGGAGTTTGAGTTGATAATATAATATTCAGTTTTTATTATCAAAAGCAGTTGGTTTTAACCAGTGCACCGAAAGCTGATTATATGGTACGTCTTGTAATAAAAATACAAGGTTAATGTTTTTATTAAAACTTTCGGTAGCACTTTATTTTAAGGTGACGTAGTTACCAGTAGCCTACGACATGTTCTTACAATAGAAATAGTAAATTATGCATAATTACAAGTAGCCTAACCTACCCCTGAAGCAAACCCTAACCGCAACTCTATTGTAAATGCATGTAGTTGATTAATATCACACATGTAACATAGCATGTAACTACGTCACGTTAATGTGACGTATTACACGTTACTACATGTTCTTATTATAGAAAAGTAAAATATGCATAATTACAAGTAGCCTAACTAAACCAAACATAACCCCAACTCTATGTGGTTAATTCATTACTACATGCATGTACAACGTCAACTTAAAATAAAGTGTAACCAAACTTTACAGGCTATTTATGAGCTATGTAGCTCGACCGACAATTGTAGAACGCAGTAGCTAGTTTACAATCAATTTTGGCACAAAAGAGTGTTACAACGAATTTGACATGGGAAAACGGATTGTTTTAGAGGCTGTAATAATAAAACAACCACAGTGTCCCTCTACAAAGTTAGATATCAGCTTATGGATGAGTCAGAGCGCCAAAGTGATTTAATTTATCCCGAAGGCAAGAATTAGGCAACTGTCTCCTTCTGATCCGCTAAAACAGTCATCATACTTTTGTACTGCAATATAAATCCAACTTACTGCGAGGAAAGAGAAAGTAAGTCCACAAAAATGGATGAAAACGCAGAAATGAAGTCGCGCCACTCGTTTCAAAAGTACTGCGTATTTCCAAAGTCCAGATCCCTGCGACTAGATCAACGTGCCTTATGGAGCAGCAGCTTTAAAGAGTCTCATTATGGAAGTACTACGCCCTTTTTCTTCGTTGCTACGTCAGGGCGCGCCCCTGTAACAGCTCCACGGCACAGCACACACTGTGCGTTAGAGCGCAGGAAAACCACACTCACGAGAGCTCTTAGTCATACACACTCAGGAGAGCTGTGTTTGGTTCTCATGGATACCAACGTGGATGAAGAAAATAGCCTATGTGCGCTATAGTTAGCCCATGAATATGACTATCACCCTTAAACTGGAATAATCTCTATCCTGTTTTGTAGTCTAAACCCATGGGTTATAACTAACAAACTTTAATAACACAATCACTGCTGTTTGACTTTGAACTCAATATTTTTTTACAAGGCAATAGAGCTAGTAGAAAGAGAGATAAATGTATCCACTCATACTGTACGTTTTTTCAGAAGTGGCTATTCAAATAAACTAACAAAAACAGTTTCAAGGCTTTTTTTCTTGGCTGATTGGGAAGTTGCAGAATATTATTTTTCCCCAGTTGTTGCTATAGGAATGAGCGATACAAACTTGTTAAATGGTCACTCTCTGTTCTCCCTAATACCGCCTGTGTGAAAATGAGTATATGCCCATTAGCTGGCCTCCAGGAATGTGCAGAATTCCTCTATGAGAGATTCCCCTCCCTTCCCCTCTCTCATCAGTCATCAAATAGTAAGTCAATTAAAAGAGGGAGGGCAGAGAGATCCAGAAAGAGTGTTGAGTGCTATTCCTGATATGAGAGATGGTGGTTAAAAGATAGTCTTGGAATAATAATGGACAACTGAGAATTATTTAAACCTATTTGTGTGGTTTTCTTTCATTTCTTTGCCAGGTTTAAATGACTACATGATTTGTGGCTCATACTTACAGTCTTATCAGGGGTCAATTGTGTTGTCTGATGCTCTTTATGGTGTTCGTAAGGCATCATGCAGTATCTCTTCTGGTTTACATAGTATTTACCTAGAGTTTACATGCTATTTTAATAGTTGACATGCTGTGGAAAACATTTTGTGTACCCGAGGAGTTTATCTACTCATACACACTCACCTAAAGGATTATTAGGAACATTGAATCCTCATTAATGAAATTATCAACTAGCAGTTGCTTCACTGAATTTAGGGGTGTGGTCCTGGTCTTGACAATCTCCTGAACTCCAAACTGAATGTCAGAATGGGAAATAAAGGTGATTTAAGCGATTTTGAGCGTGGCATGGTTGTTGGTGCCAGACGGGCGGGTTTGAGTTTTTCACAATCTGCTCAGTTACTGGGATTACTGAGAAAAATGTTGCCTGGTCTGATGAGTCTCGATTTCTGTTGAGACATTTAGATAGTAGAGTGAGAATTTGGCATAAACAGAATGAAAAATCCGTCATGCCTTGTTACTGTGCAGGCTGGTGGTGGTGGTGTAATGGTGTGGGGGATGTTTTCTTGGCACACTTTAGGCCCCTTAGTGCCAAATGGGTATTGTTTAAATGCCACGGCCAACCTGAGCATTGTTTCTGACCATATCCATCCCTTTATGGCCACCATGTGCCCATCCTCTGATGGCTACTTCCAGCAGGATAATGCACCATGTCACAAAGCTCGAATCATTTCAAAATGGTTTATTGAACATGACAATGAGTTCACTGTACTAAAATGGCCCCCACAGTCACCAGATCTCAACCCAATAGAGCATCTTTGGGATGTGGTGGAATGGGAGCTTCGTCCCCTGGATGTTCATCCCACAAATCTCCGTCAACTTCAAGATGCTATCCTATCAATATGGGCCAACATTTCTAAAGAATGCTTTCAGCACCTTGTTGAATCAATGCCACGTAGAATTAAGGCAGTTCTGAAGGCAAAAGGGGGTCAAACACAGTATTAGTATGGTGTTCCTAATAAGGTGAGTGTAAATGGCAGTTGATTGCTCGGTAAGTTCAGGCCATGTAATATGAGGTTGGGAACTGAATTGATCAAAATGCTGCATTGTTGCATATCTGTGAGAGTCCACACTTTTTTTTGCTAGCAGTATGACAGTGGGTTGTTGTTCTTGCTTATCACCCATTGACGCTAGCAAGGAGCAATAATTCCTGTGGTACTATGGAATGTTCTGGCGTTCCAGTTACACAAACTAGAGATAACATGGGGAATGCAAGCTTGATATGAGTGTAAACGGGGCCTTGTGTCCTTCATTATATCTGACTTTCCTTTGCTCAATCAAAGAGGACCGCTGGGATTTTAACTAATGTTCAACACTTTGCATTTATAAAAATGTGCACTTTTTGTAAATAAATAAATTCCTTTTTTTGAAATTTAGTTTCGTTCAGCTGCATTATAATTCTCCCAGATGTCTGTTATTCCTCATGCCAGTTTTCAACTTCACTTTTACCACCAGTCATCAGTTAGTGTTTTGGTTAAGTTTGAGTCATTTATTTTATTTTATTTAGTGTGCACAAAACTAAATGGTTACATATTATTGAATTAGTAATCATATAAGACGAATTAGGACATTTTGGTCAAATGCCATTAACCTTAGTAGACTACCAACATATTTCATTTAATGGCTTCCATTCTGTTTGTTTGCCAGACCAGTATCTCCAATATTAGAACAGACGTGCATTGGAGATGCACTTCCATTATGTGGAAAATGCTGCATTCATTATGTTGGCATTCGCCCATAAAAGACATTTTCCCAATCCAAAATTGCATTCACTAAAAAATCATGATTTTCACTGATCTATGCTGTAAGTTCTGTGACACAATGCTTATAGAAGAGCATTATCTAAGGTGTACAGGGATAGTAACCGTTACTGGATATTTGAGTGTGTTCCCAGGTATACCTTGGCATGCAGTCCCATATATGCCAATGTTTGTAGAAGTCTTGAGTAGAGAGTGGATGGCAGTGTTGAATTCACAGACACACACACACGAACACCCTGACCAGACTCTAATGTTACTCTCTACAGCCATTAAGAGTGTGATTTATGTTTGCGAGTCACTGCGAGTCAAGGCCAGACTTAAATGCAAGGGTGTTTTGGACTATATGGGTTAAGTGTTTTGTGTGTGCCCACATTTTAAGAGATTTATCCAGGACTTATCGGACATGTTTGGGTTTGTAAAGTGGTTTTGACACCTTGACTCTAAATCTTTGGCGATTGGAGACCAACAACATTGTGTTGTGTCCGTGATAAAAGTACTTGATTCTCTGTATACAAGCCTATACAAACCCAAGGACAGATATGCACAATAATTTATTATAGTTTAGAGAAACTCGTCATGCCCTGCAACAGCTCAAGTTGGAACAGAAAGGCCCATAGTGCATAGCAAAGGAAACAGAACAAAATAAACCCCACAAGGCCATGTGTGACATTGATTTCACTCTGGATAATGGGTCTAGTAAGGCATCATGTTTTGAAGGACACAAGCCATTTAAAGGGAACAGGACATCATACAGACTTTATGAAACCACTTAGCAATATTACTTGTCTAGTTTTAGTTTAGATATTGGTCTGAATGCATTATTTTGAGTTATAGTTTTTACCTTAATGAAGGTATCATTCATGATTTTTCCGCTGTGTTGAAATCTACTCAACGTTTTGTGTAAATCTACAGTGTATATTACACTCACTCCTTGTGAAAACGTGAATTTTGAAGCAGTTATATTTACTTTTGAAAATGTATGTTTTAATAAGTAACTAGATAAGACAGCTTGGGGTGTGAGTGTGTGCAGTGTACATTGTAGAAGTAAAACGTCAAAGTATTGTCAAGTTATGTTTACCACAGGCTTTATTTTTACTCATAAATAGAAAAACCCCATTATAAAACCCAAAATGAAAATCTCGAAGGAATCAGCGGCGAATTAATCTTCAAGGTTTTGATGTCAAACCGGCACTACTATACTTTCCCATTAATCCTCATATCTGGTATGAGATTTCATTAATTTTTTTTTTCTTCTCAAAAGTGAGGGACTTAACAGTAAAATAACAGGAAACTCAACTTCACACCCGAGCAGATTTTGTAGTAGAATGAGTCAGACTCTAAAGAATAAACATGAGCAGAAAGTGGCTAAAGAAAGTTTGCACGATAAAAACAACAACGAGCAGACTATAGTGGGAATAAAAACAACTGATCCCTTTTATGACTCGAGGGATGAGAGTAAATAAAGGACTTTCAAGGACTCCACAGATGTTTGACTACTATTATACTCATTCAGACCTGTCATCATGTTTTCATTATGAGCACTAAGCTCACACATACAGTACGGCGTACAAAATCATCCACCAAACCAACACAAGCATATAGACTTATATTCTTTGTTGATCTGGCCTCTCAATCTCACTTCCCCTAGTTCCATTTTGATGTTGTGTGTCACACTTCCTGCAGTTTCCCTGGAGACAAAGCCATAAATAAACACCAGTGGCTAGTATAAAAGAAGAGATTGGACTCTTGAATCATCCCACAGCATGATTCAGCAGGAGACCGAGAGGATAGGAGAGACAGCGTCGGCAAATTTAGCTTCCTTTTCTTCTAAACTGGCTGTCGATATGATCATTTAACTGATCAATCAGATGGAGCTCTCAGACTTCCAGAAGACATTTCTGTAGACTGATTGACTTTTGCCTCCGGCCAAGCTATAGGGGAACATTCTGAGAAGGTTCTCCCTTAAAAGTTATGAACAAACATTCTTCCTGTAAGCTTAATAGAACGTTTGTTCAAAGTATTTAATAATATTCTCAAAACATTAGCTCAAAAGAGTTATTTACACATTAGTCTTGTGTTGCCAGAACTTCATACTCATGGCCACCCAGACAGCAACATAGTGTGGGCCCAAATCTGGCCCACATCTGGTACGCGTGGAATCCACATGTGCCAGATGTGGATCTGGGCCGACACTACAGTATGTTGCTGCCTGGGAAAGTACCGCTCAAGAGGCCATCTCACTGACATGTAAAGCAATCAATCTCAGTTTGTTTTGCTCAGCATCATGTTTAGGGTTGTGAAAAGACCCTACAATAACAGAGTGGTGTAAAACATTTTT